AACAGCCAAGTCTACTGAAGAATTAACATGAAAATGAGAAAATATTTGAATGTTACATTTTAAGATCCAGAACGCCTGTATACCTATTTGGTATTATATCCAATGAGTATCCCAACCATTAAAAGTAATTTATTGTTGAAATTACTTGTAATCAATGTCCACGAGATTTACAACTGCCAACATCAGTATTATACTGAAAATATTTTTTCTTCGTAAACTGAAAGTAATAAAAAATCGGTGTCTATATTTATTGCCACAATAAAATAATAGGTACTTAATTGCATCACGTTGCAAAAAACAAAGAAGACTCACGAACGCCATTTGACAATTTCACAGCCGATTATCTGACGGCTTTCCCATATTGCTTTTGACAACTGTAGTATGTCAATTTCTAAGAATACATTTTTTACGTTAAAAAACTGAGTGAACCTTCGAGTCAAATCATATTTAAAAAGCTAAGTGAAACACAACAAACTGATGAAGTAGGTAAGCTATTATTACGAAACCTTCATGTTGCCGATGATATTCATTATCGTAGTCATATTCGATAAATATCACATTCTGGTTTTTCTTCATTATGAAAAACTAAGAGAAGAAAATATTTTAATTTCTAGTCCAAGAAACCTCAAATAATCAATTCCTAATGAATCTAGAACAATGTATTTTCTAAGTACAATGTATATTCTATTTGAGAGATTATAAAAATGAGTTGACAGGGGTGAATTGTTTAGTTGTTTGGTAAAAAAACTTTTCGCCTGTCTACTTTTCCATCTTTATGAGAAACTTCCAAATGAAGCAAGAAAGCAACCAATTTTAAAATAAACTCTTTACTAAGATGTGTAGTAGTAGGTATACATAGTCGTTACTTTCAGATGGAAAAAAAGAAAAAGTTTCTCCGAAATAACTATCTCCATATGAACATTGAATTACATATAAAACTACTACTTCCATATGAGCATTGAGTTAAACGAAAATAACTTTTTCCCATTCAGTTTATACTCCAAATATTAGTTTGGTATATAAAATCTCACTTACATGAAACACTATGAATCTCAATAGTACATACTCATCCTCGTAGAGCTCTTGAAGAATCTGCATTTTATAAGGATGAAATTTATGCATTTTCAATGCTTTTCCTAAAGTCTCATTACATTTTCGATGTCTTTCGTTAAAAAAGACATGCCGCTTTTCGTGCGCACTTTCCAACTTTTCCATAAATAACAATTATTTCAATTCTGTCTTGAAGAATGTACTCAAACCATTTTTACACTTTTATACAGTCATTGAAGTAATCACTAAACAGCCCAACAGGTACAACTGTATGCGCCATACTACCACATCGTTCAAATTTGCGAATCAATTTTTTGCCTGAAAACAGAAGCTTTTTACAGCAGAAGTAGTAAAAAACGGTTATCTGTACATTTTCTCCGATGAGACTTTAAAATTCAGCATCTACTAAACACAAATTTACTACAAGATACGTTTTACTATTAGACTACTTTTGAAGTTAATTAATTGGAGCTAATGGCTAATGTTATCCCTAATAAAGGGTTGGAACGACACCACCTAATATTCTTACCCGTTCTGGTCAAACCATGCATCTCTGTATAGGCCTCAAATATATTAGCTTCCATGTTTTTATGATAGTCAACATTCCAGTCCTCAAGTTTTTTTCCACATAATTTCAAAGAATTCGAAACCCATCGTTTTCTTCCTCCGCAATGCATAATGATTAGTCGCGATCCTTTGTTTGCAGGCATGTTATGCGTACACATTCCCGAACCATCAGTCCAACCTTTCGTAACTATGTCGTGAGTGTCATACCAAGTTTCATCCAAATAGAAAATTTGCCTTTGTTCTTGTCTATATTTAGTTCGAAGTATTTGTTACGCAATTCCACCATTCTTCTGCTTTCCATAACTGCTTGACGTTTGTTTATTATTTTAAATCTAAATCCTAGCTTCTTTATCCAATTCTGAAGACTTTTATCACAGCAGCTCACGTTGTGGCCGGAATTTCTTCCTTATGATTTCAATTGTAGGAATCTCATTGCTCTTGTAGCAGTCGTATATTGTTTTTTTAATGATTTTATTAGATGAACATCTAAAGGTTTTGGTAATTCCGTATCACATCGCGTCTTGTGTTCAAAAGGTTTCATTTCAAACAAATAACAAAAATTTTAAATAATTATAACATCACCGATATCTAATTTCATCAACTATACTCAACTTAATCGAGTAAGTAAATGAATTTTGTTTACTTGTGACAATGTGGGTACGCTAATTTGAAAACCGGTGAGTGAACTAGATCGATTTGATCAGTTAGCATGTTATATCCGCAATGCTTATGGTTATGAATTTTCAAGGATTAAAAATAATTGTGTTCCCAACCCTTCCTTGCATCATTTAGATTCGTAATTGCATTCCGAAGAATGGTTTGAAAACGTCGAATCACTTTTACCTAGTCTGAAGAACCTTTCATGTTCAGCATACCGTTTAGAGAAATTTTGAACACATTGTCCCACATAAGCACTATTTCACTCCGGGCACTTAAGCTTATTAACTCCAGATTTCTCCATTTTATCCACTATGTCTGTGGCATTAAGAAGGAAATTAGATAACCTGACATGTGGTCTGCATGCCACTTCCACATAAAGAGTTCAATATCTCATTTTACTTATTTCAGTCTGCAAATTGAGAAAAAATTAGTTCTGATAAAGACAGAAGTATATACTCACTTCTTGTCAAAATACTGGACAGTCTACTTTGTTTTGAAATAGTTTGCATAGAAAAATTACTCACAAATTCTGTATATTCGATCAAAGCCAAATAACTTGATGTCATAAATAATTTCTAAATCAATATTGACCTTGTGTACTTCAACGAGGCCAGCTCTAACTTATTACATTGGTCATTGTTCAATGTTCCACGCGACAAAAATAGCAAAAGATGTTAATTGCAACTTCTCGATATTCCAATTCAAAGTTTCGATAATTTGTGAGCTAAAAAATTTTTCATTGTTTCTTCTGATCACCTTCTTTTCTAGCCTATATTTTATGTATAATGTCCTTTTTCAATTAAAGTTTCTATAAATAGATATGACTATTGATAAGTTTGGTTGTTCTATCAAAATATGCGATCAAAATATTACTTATGCTGAAATACATATGAAAGACAATAAGTTACTGTGAGACACCAGCTGATGTATCACTTAGATTTGTAATATATTTCAAAAGAATAACTCGTTAATTATGCATTCAGGTTAGGCAATATATTTACCAGGCGTAGGATAAGACAAGTTGTTCAGATATTCAAATCTCGAAAGGGATAGCATTTCTCCCAGCCATTTAAAACGTCAGTAAAAATAGTTGTCAAATGATTTTGGAAAAGTTAGTTGAAAATAATAAAGACAAAATATCCAAATTCGAGAAATGAGAGGTATATAAATCAACGTGTGTTATATAATGAATATATTGGTTGGTCAAACTGGTGGAACATTTAGGAATCGAATCCAGGAACATGAAATGTGGTATGTAAATAAGAAAATAAGTTCAACATATTCAAATCATCTTTTAAGAAAAAATCGTATCTTCAACGAAGAGTTCGAAATTTTACACATAGAAAATAAAGGTTTGAAACTGAATCATTTGGAAGCAATGGAAATTAATAAACTTGAAAATTAAAAAATTCTGATGAATGACCAACTGGATTTGAATAGATCATCATTATTGAACATGTTTTTTTAAAAAACCAAGGAAGAAGGTATAATTATTGTTGTAGAAGTGAGGCAATATGCTTCAGGTAATAATAATTGAGGATGTACCTCAGGCATATACTTATTTTAGAGGTTTAGGTAATTTGATGGAGGTAGTCCCAATTATAGTTACCTGTGGCATATAAATATTTGCGTAAGAAGCAACTTGTAGTATTCAAATCACTGTTAAAGAACCTCCTGTGTTAGCGAAACATGTCGCGAAATATTTCTCGAATAAAGTTTGTAGAAATCAAATCGTAAGGTGTAGTTTATGAAATCAATAGTATCGAAAAATCTTTCGCAACAGGCCTGTAGAAGTTAGATATGAATTCAGCAATGCTGCTCTTACCGCTGCATTTCTCGTAACACCAATTTCGTTATTTATCAAAACGAAGCTCGTAAACTTTCATAGCCGGAGATAACCAGGTTGAAGGTATTTTCCGGTTGAGTTGATCATGGCCTGTCGGTTTTTATGCTTGACCTATCGTCTACAATTGCGATAGGCATTATCAAAGACGAAGAATAGAAATAGTATTATGCACTGTGAGTCTTCCATCCGTTGCCTTACTGTCTTTGAGGTATGTATAACGCAGTTGTGAACAAAATGTCAATCATAAAAACCTGCATACCATCTCCAAGATACCTGAAGAGTAACTTTGTCAAAAGCAAAGCTTGTCAATTTCAGATTCACAGTAACGTGTAACACAAGCAAAACTCTTTGTGTCTTCGATTGGATCACCACAATATCGGATTCGCTATTACCGCAAATTCTTTATAGTATTTCTGGTCGTGGAAAAGGAAACAATTTATGGGAGAATTCATCCTTGAAACCTCAAGTTCTTTAATATTCATTATCTGTTCACATCTGTTCTTATAAGACGTGTGTTTTTTTTGAAATTATCTTAGTATCTTCCTCTTTGAAATTCTTTGTTCTTAGCTTTTTTGTTTTTTGACAACTGAATGTTTTTTTCGGGTGGTTTTTGACTGCAGATTAGAAGGTCCTGGAAAAGGAAACAGTCAATAGGAGAATACCTCCTTGAAACCTTCACCATGCTTTGTTTCTGGACTTTAATTTCAAGCCGTTGTTGGATATTCATCTTCACTAATAATATAGCAACCGGAGTCCATTTTTTCATATTATAGAAATAAAACTCTCAAAGGCATTTTATTTACAAAAACGTCATGTTTTCATTTGATGATGATGAATTTGATTTATCAGATGATGAAAAAATACTTTAATGTTTTAGGTAGGTGCGAGCCAGCCGCCGGAATGCTGATAGCCTGCGCAGGCTGCGACAAGCCGATCCTCGACAAGTTTCTACTAAATGTCCTTGAAAGGACGTGGCATGCGGAATGCGTCAGGTGTTTCGACTGTCATGCTCCACTCACAGACAAATGTTTTTCCAGGGAAAGCAAGCTATTTTGCCGGAGTGACTTTTTCAGGTACGTTTGCTTAATCAGTATTAATTTCATGAAATATTTGACATACATTTACCGAAACGAGTGGTATCTTCCTGCTGTGCAACTAAAGACCAACCAACTTCATAATAACATTTGCTATACGTGGTATAATGTGAGTGAAAATTGATATTTTTATGTAATTATTTATCTGTTCGCGGAGGAGACGCTTGTGGTTCCAGCACTTCATAACTATTTTAAATTTCAATTTTTGGCTTACATATTGTTAACGTTGTAATCTCCCAATTGACGAAGTTTTGGGGACATGGATAAATTGAAAAAATGTGCCTATTCATTAAATCCGATTATGAGAAACTGAAACATGAAATTTCATGAAATATTTGACATACATTTACCGAAACGAGTGGATTCGAAACACTCTTTTGGTACTGAAATTTTCTTATTCAAAACCACGTAAAATTTATGGAAACTTCTTCACTTAGAGAACTTATACTTGAAATTGAGTGCTGATGAATAAAATACATACATCGGAGTTGTATTTCTTTCGTAGGCACTCATAAATTCCGAAAGAAAATACAATTTCTAAGGTATTATAAAAGATACACTCAAAATTGACTGTTGATAGAGTGTTTTTCTTAACATAATTCTGAACTGGAGCCTGAAGTGTTATATTATACTGTAATTCTGAATAGAGCCTCCGCATCCAAGCTGACAAAACTTCAAGACATATTTTCTTCAGATTTCACTGCAGAGGAATACGTTGAGAAGAACTTCATGGATTAGCCGTTGAAACTAGCTGAGTATACTTAGCCAGCTCTATATAACAGGATATCCGATAAAACGAAAAAACTATCTATTTATCGCTTTGAAATTATGCTTAAAAATGTGAACCAAGATTTATTTCAAGTTTCTTATTTCGAATATGATCTCTACAACCATTTGTTAATTGATTTGGATCATCGTCACCTGCATCAAATAAAATTTAATTTGGGCTATACTCTGAAAATATAATTTTTTCCTGTTGTTCTAAAGAGTATTGTTTATTAGACTTTAGCAAATTGTAAGAGAGCACTTTTTTCTGTATTCTTATATTTTCATAGCCGACTAGAACTACGAGGGTGGTCTAAAAAGTATCCGACGTAACAAAGATACAAGACAAATTATCAGATTTTTGTTATTTTCCAATAAAGTCTTCTTTCAACTCTACACACTTCTCTTAACGATGCTTTCAACTCTGTGATCCGTCCAAATAGCACTCGGCGTTTTTCTCTGCCTAATAATTGGTCACGAAGGTGATTGCCTCTTCATTTGACGAAGATCTCCCTACTCAGAGCGCAATTTCAACATGAAAGAACAAAAAAACTCTCTTAGGGCAAGATCTGGTGGCTAAGGTGGATGGTCAAGCAGTTAAAACCGTAATTCGTGGATTTTCGCCATGGCAACCGCTGAGGTATGAGACGGTCCGTTGTCTTGGTAAACCAGCATTTGATTTTTCTGTAAATGTGGTCGTTTTACCACAAGTTCTGCCTTCAGTTTGTCAAGTAATGATGCGTAGTGTGCTCTTGTGATGCTTTTCCCTTTTAGAAGATAATTGATGGAAATAACTCCCAAAAAGGTAGTCTTCATCACTTTCCCAGCCGAAAAAACAGTTTTTGCTTTCTAGAAGCCGGTTCCCTCTTTGCAGTCCACTGTTTGGATTATATTTTTGTTTCAGGCGTATAATGGTGTATCCATGTTTCATATACAGTAATTAACCGGCGCCGAAACCCGGATTTATTGCACCTGAACTGCGCCAATAGAGCCTTGTAAATGTTCTTTCGAGCACGTTTCTGATCTAACATGAGCAAACGCGGCACCCAACACGAAGGCAGCTTTATTATGCCTGAAAGTTGATTAAAAATGTAACAAACACATTTTTTGACATGTTCCTAACTTTTACTATCTCTCTTACTGTAACTACCGGCGATGTTGTCGCCGGTAGTTACAGTTTTTGGATGTCCCAAACGTTCACAGGCGATGTTTTCGCCAGCAGTTGCACTTTTCAGACGTCCCGAAAGTTCATCGTCTCCCAAAAGTATCTGCAGCCACTTTTGAATTCAGCTTACCAAGATTTCACTGTGGTGAATAATGGTGCAGAGTCCCCATGTACAGAATCCAACTCATCTTTGATATTTAATGACAGCTAGATACTCGATATGACCATTTTCACAAAAGCACTCAGCTCAACTCACTCTTTTACATAACAACTGCGGGTCCAAAATGTCTGAAACTTTGGAGAATAACTGTCAACAGATGAACAACGAAATACACCAGCTTTTATTTATGAGCGCTGCTACTTCTGTAGTTTTTTAGCAGAATTACCAATTGATAACCATTACTTTCGTCGCAAGTAAATTCCAGTTACTTTGTAACTTCAATTTTTTTATTCTCTTCGAAAAATAATAGGATATGGATTCTTAAGGTAATGATCATTTCCCGTAGAGAATTAAACCGTGATTTCTAAAAATATCCATTGAAACTGTCCCCTGAAAATTATTGACCTGTCTTGCTGACTATTTATATTATTATTATTATGAGTGAGAACGAATTCCAGGCTGGTAGGCAATCATTGAATGAAACCACTGAACGTTTAGTCTGCTACTGGGACAGACGTCTTCAGTGGTTTTCATCTTATTTCCTAGAAAGAAGTTATTTAGGTTGAGAAGTTTTCAGTATGAAACATACATACGAGTAAATATAACAACGGAGATTCATGGCAATAAACAATAAACGGTGTGGGAGTTCAGTTGACACCTTGAACCCTACAACCGATAACAGAGCAACTTACTGAAAAAATCAAAGCCAAAAGTATCAGTTATTGAGACCGTGATACGACCTTTTCGTTTTACCGAATACCTAATTCGTCATACTAGGTGTTAAGTCTAGAGCTAGAGGATCCGGTTACGTTCAGATTAGTTCTGCACATTGGCGGCACATACATTCTCTGGAATTTTTATATTTATTTATATATTTTATTATATTCGACACTGGGAGTGTTCATTTAAATTATGTCGAATAACTTATTCTGAAATTCATTTCATTTGCAATTTTGATAGTGTAAACACCATCGGAGAACTTTTTATGTAAATGTCAGGTGCAATATCAAAACTCTAATGCCAACTGAGATCATCTGCGGAATACCAAAAGTGGTAACTTCAGTACTTTCGTACTTTCATGAAATAAAAAGCTTTATGAATAGAAATACATCAACAACCTGATACAAACTTGGTTCCATTTTATTCTGAAAGTCTATTTTCATTCATTGAATTTCTTTCTCAGAATATCTCCACCTCACCAGTAATATACAATTCTTCATTTTAAAAGTTGAGCGGCATCGTTATCTTCATGTGCTTCATTATAACTTCATTATAACTTTTCATTATAACGATTCATAACTAAATCAATTACTGGCAGATATATGATAGAATTGGCCAATACTTGATGAAATCCATAACTAACGTATTCAAAAAACACTTTATTGTGAGATTTTCACTAAACAATTTTTGTAAATTGAAGTGTTTTTTGAATACGTTAATTACTGCCAAATATAAATTTTTCTTAAAATGTTCCCTAGTTCGATTCACTGGCAGAGCTGATGTAGCAAAGGTTATCCATCAACCTTATCCAAAATTTTGATTTCGCTTGCTTTATTTCTCGGTTACAATTAGAATTACTGCTAGACGTATAAAATTTGAACCAACATTTCCAATTTTTTCAATTAACTAATCTGTCCGCAATATACCAAAACTTTTTCCAGAGACACTGGAACTTGTTGAAACTTGTTATTCAAAATTTACAATTATTCAATTTGTTGCTTGTTTTTATATTTCTTGCTCACCATATAGTTGTTATAAAAAAGAAATACTGTCAGAAGTTATTTTGGAAAAGTCACTACAATTTTGTTACACTGAAATACAGTTTTATTGGCGATTCCTGAAAGGAAAAATAACTAGAGATTTGATAAAACTTAAACCTATTTTCACAAAACCGTTTCTTCATCTATGAACTATCACAGTGTATAAGACTTACGCTGTAGTTTCTCATTATTTCGTCTTTTTACAGATCTTCTTTCGGTAACATCCAAGTGACCAATTTGAATTTACAAAAATAGAACAAACACTTGATAACAATATATTCCTGATTTTTTTGAAAATTAATTCGTTAGTTGTTTTTTAAACTTCACTTCGTGTTTCTGTTCTATTTCGATTTAAAACACTTTTTTCTGTGAAACCCATTCCATATAATTGTTTCCACTAACTTCTGTTCAATTCGATCAATTTCAAAGTATGATTTATTGATTCACATCTCCAATGAATTGCATACGTTCGTTCACACAATACTATCATTCGAAGGTGATAATCATATTGGCAAAATATAACACTTAGGCCAGCATTACGCTGAAAATATCGCTAGGCATTTCATTATTTCTATAGTAAAATTCTATAATAGTAGGCACTAAATTCTCAGAAATATTATTGCATTTGAATGAAAACATGGTTGTCAGGTTGCGATTCTATGTAATTTATCATTCTATATATTTTATCAGATGAAAAAATATATGAATCACAACCTAATAACAATGTTTTCGTATGAATGCAGTAATATTTCTGAGAATTCAGTGCCTACTATTATGGAATTTTAGTATATGAGGTTGAATTTTAACAATGTTAAATTAACTGTTACTGAAAATATGAAAATCACGGAACCTTCATCAAATATTGTTGAATATTGGAGGTTTTTTTTATTTTTTCACTTATTAGATTGACTGGTGCCTCAGATATACTTGTTTCCTTATAACAGTCAGTTAGTTTGGCGCATGTTTGACAATACAGTCGATCATCGCTTGTTAAAAATTCCATTTTCAGATGATTTAACAATAAGCTTTGCACGGACTGGTAATTAGTCGTATTAGGAAAAGCTAGATGAAGAGTATTCAACAAGAACCCCAAGAATTCGGAACAATCCTCCTAACGAGTATTTAGTGG